AAAAAAAAAAAAGCTAGCTTCAGAAACCCACAGAGGTAGTTCTACCCTGCCCTCTAGGGGCCCTACGGGTTGGCCATCGCCCTGATGGCACTGAATTTGGGTTTTTGTTGTTGGCTGCGGTTGCCTGCCTCTCATCCACTCACTCTTCAGGGGGAAAAGGCTGTCGACACTTCTGTTCTCTCTGATCCTGTTGTGTTCACACTTCTCACCTTTTCTTCTGACAGGACTTCCTCTTGATGGAGTCCCAAGGAATTCCAGCTGAGCAGAGGCGGAAACTATCCACCACTATCCACAACCATACACATTACCTCCCCATAATTCGTGTACTATAACTTCTTCCCCCACCTCTCATTGTGGTATGACCTAGCATAATTCTTGGCACATATGAGACTCAGAATACATGTTAGTGGAATGGACAGAGAAATGAAGGCTCACCTCTGCGAAGACTTCCCTGAATGTGACCCAGTTCCTTCCCAAAGAATAAGGATATGTGGATGTGCTCCCTAGGAAGATGGCCGTTTCCATTCTTGCTTTTGCTCTGGCTTTTTGTCTGCCCATTAGATTACAAACGAAAGAACTGCTTCCTTTGTAGCATGTTTGTACTGCAAATAACTCGTGTTATACACTTTTTACAAACCTAATCACCACCTCCTGCGATTTCCCCCCTATAAATACTACTCATTATCTATGTGATTATTTATGTGGGTGGGTTAGATGCAGGGGGTAGTGGGGTGGGGATATGCCAACGTTGGTTCTTGACAAAACACAAGTTTTCCTTATTTTTCCCTTTCCCAACTCTGCTGATTATGACCCCTACCTCCCCTGAAATATATCTTAACCCTCGGAAACCTCCATACTTCCAATCAAACAACCTAAATAATCTAAAACACATTCCTAATGAAGTTACAAAGTAACTCGTGAGTATAATAAATACAGCTCCCTCGGTTTGCTCCCCCTACAAAGTATTCCCAAGTATGTAGCCCCACCATATGTCATTTTGACCAGAGATCTCGTCCAAAGGTAAGAGGGTTTCAAATTAAAGCATTCTCCATGAAATCAGAGAGCAGAACTGCAGATACTACTCTTTCTATGACAGCCTGCTGCGTTTCTGCCACTGAATCAGCCACTTTGGGTGCTCTGATAGCCAATCAGCGCCGACCTATGGGTAAGGATTCAGGCTGGGGCAGGATCACTCTTCTTCCAGTCAAGAGCCCACAAAGGCAATTCCTTCACATCCTCGCTCCTCCCAGTTCACGCACCCTGCAACGCGGCCAGGATCCCCACGATGCCGGTCCCTGCGCCCAGTTCGATCACCTTCTTCCCTCGGAAATCCACATTTTGCCTCTCGAAATAGTTGCACAGGCTCAAAGCCTATAGGAGGAAAAAGAAAGGAATTAAAAAAAACTGTGGCAGGGCTGGTTCCCCCTGGGAGTCAGGGACAGGAGTCCGCCACCCACCACCCCCACCCAGCGCAGCCCACTCCTCACCGCGTCCCACACCCGCGCTGCCACCCCGAGGTGGGCCCCGAAGTTCTGCGTGATGCTCAGCACGTGCCCACAGAAGCAGAACCGACTCTTTTCCGAGTAAGAATCTGCGAAGAGCCCGACCTCGCGCGGGAACACAGACTCCGCCTCGGATTCGGGCTGTGGGTCGGGGTCCGCCATCCGGCCGAGCGCGCCCGGGTGCCACGTCGCGCGCCCCGATCGCGGATCTGCAGCGGGGCGGGCGGGGTCGGCCGGCCCCCGCGGTGTCCGGGCTCCGACTCCGAGCCCCGCCTCCCTGAGGACGCCCTCCCTCCTCCAGTTTGACTTCCTGGCGGTAGAATGAGGAGCTGCTCTTCCCTGGCCAGGTCCCCAGCGCACACCCGAGCGGACCCAAGCTCAGCTAGGAGGATCGGAGCAGGCAGACGGGCCCGGAAAGGCGGTGGAGGGAAAGGCCATGGAGTGGCTTCCGACCTATGGCGACCCCAAAGGGCAGGGCAGAAAGGCTCCGGAAGAATTCCTTACCGGAGCACACATTCCCCATCTCTCTCCTGCGGAGCGGGCAGTGGACGTGAACCACTGACCTTGCGGCTAGCTCCTGGAGCAGAAAGGAGCAGGGTGAATTCTACCATAGGAGACGAGGTCCCCAGGCCCTGCTCACCTGTGGGGCGCACAAGAGCTCGGAATAACAGAATAACAACCAGACTCGGGAAAAGCAGGCCTAGGGGAAAAATGGTTGGGGGTCTGGCTCTCGCCTCGCCAGCTCAGCTAGAGAGACAACGAGCGGAGGAGCCCCCGGCACGCTCCCCTCCCGACCCTGCGCGCCGAGCGCGGCGGAATTCGCGCCTGGGCCTTTAAGGGGCGGGGCCTGTCCGCCGACGGTCTGACTGCGTCATTATCACGCGCCTCCTGCCTAGGCCTCCACGTGGGTCAGGTGGAGCAGCCCCGAGTTGCAGATCATGGAGGGAGCCGAGACTGGGAACTGGGCCGGAGCGGAGGCCCCGCAGCCTCAGAAGCGATATTACCGGCAACGCGCACACTCTAACCCCATGGCGGACCATACACTGCGCTAGTGCGTGAGCAGGGCAGGGGGAGAGAGTGGAAGGTGGAATACTCAAGGCAGCCCGGAGCAGCTGGGTCCTTCGTAGAGGGACGAGAAGGAGGGTGGGGAAGATCTGAGTTAGACCCGGGAAGGGCCGCTGCGTGACGTCTTTGTTGTTAGGGGTGTGTTCAGGAGGTGTGACAGAGGGCGGAGTTGACAATTAAGGAATGGGCGTGGCATTCTGGAGGTGTCAATTCCAACTCAAACCAAACTCTGCCATCGGATCTAGTCGATGTCAACTCACAGTGACCTTATAGGACAGAGTAGAACTGCCCCTGTGAGTTTCTGAGACGTAACTCTGTAAGTGAGTAGAAAGCCCTGGCTTTCTCCCGCGGAGCGGCTATTAGTTTCAATCTGCCGGCTTTGAGGTGAGCATCCCACCAGGGCTCCGTAGCGAGCCTGTAGTACAGGACAAAACTGCGCCATGGGTGTCCGAGACTAAATCTGTATGGGAGCGCAAAGTCTCGTATTTCTCCCACGGAGCAGCCGATGGGTTCCAACTGCTGTTTTTGTGGTTAGCAAATCCAGCATTTAACGCACTGGGGCACCAGGGGTCTTCATAGCATGTCTAGAAAGGAAAAGAAAAATTTCTTGAGACCAAAGTGAAAAAGGCACCATGTCATTTCCTTCTTTCAGTTTCATTTGTTGGATGATTATTATTTTATTAATGTTCAATCCTGCCCATACCTTACTCCATCCCCAACCCATAAAGTAGTCCCCACCAGGGCCCTATCGATGTGTAGAAATGAAGATGATCAGGTCAGTCAGCAGCAACATGGGCCCCATGATGGGCCTATGATTCACACTGGGGGATAAGAGTGGTTTCCAGTTTGGTCCCCAGAAGCCACAGGGCCCACTGTTACAGAATTTTTAAGAAAGCCTCTTCCCACCCTCACAGGGTACCACTTCCCACGGTGTATGACCAACATTCTCTCCTCGCCATGACTTCTCTCCAATAGCCCAGTGAAGCCACAGGAGATGGACTGGTCTGAGCTATACCCAGAGTTCTTTGCTCCACTAACTCCAAACCAGAGCCATGATGACCCAAAGGAGAAGAAAGAGAAAAGGCCTCAGGCCCAAGTGGAGTTTGCAGACATAGGCTGTGGCTATGGTGGCCTGTTAGGTAACATTCTACCCCTTTCTTTTCGACAAGGCAAGGCAGTGACTTAGGTTCTGCCATTTCAGCAGGTTTGATGGGGCCCCAAATTGGCCTTTCCCCTTCGGACCAAACACTGGCACCGTGACATCAGTGTGGCGTGCCTCCACCTTCCCTCTACTCGGGGTCTGTGGACTTTGGTCTAGTGAAAGGAGAGGGTTGCCTCAAATGCCTCTTAGAACCCAGGTTGTCCTGTCTGGCTCCACCCCTAGACCCAGTTCTGCATGACTCATTTCACCTGCTAGGTGCTGGGTCAGTGAGCGGGTCAGCACAAGCGTCAGAGATTAGCCACTGTGGCCAGTGATCCTGAACTCAGGGATTCCACCACCTCCCTTCTCCCTCTGCCCCCCTCCCCCAACCAGAACGCATGCCTACTGCTCCTCAGGTCCCTTATGTATTGTCCCAGCCATACATACAGGACCACTTCCCTATTTTCAGATCTTACCATACAGCTAACTAACTGTATGACAGACAGGAAGACTGTGGTATTTGAATCATAAAACTTTGGTTCAAGTTCCACTTCCAAACCCTTCTTAGTTCTGTGACCATGGGCATGCCTCATCCTCGATTTCCTCATCTTAACAATGTGTCATAGTGTCTTAAGGCATACATGAAACAAGGCGTGAAAACTTAAAGTACTTGCATATGTCCACGTGGTACTAGCTCCTCCCATTTCCCCATTCTGATGACAATTTCTATATTTCTCCCTGCCCTACCCGCCCCCCTCCAGCATAGAGCCATTTATATGCAGTGAAACCTGTGAGAGCTGGAACACAATGGCACTACCTTGATCTTCCAGGTCTCCCAGGGTTTCCGCCTTTGACAACATAGTTACCACTTTTCAGCTGCTCTCTATTTAATGGGAACAGTTTGAGCTTCCCTTCCCTTGTTGATTTCCACCTTTTTATTTTATTTTGCCTTTTGAAACCATTTGATTGCATATAATTCACATATTATACAACTCAATAGACTCAATAGGTTCCCACCTTATATGAGTGCCGCCTGTCGCAGGTTTTACTGTACACATCTCCCTGTTCCCACCTGCCATTCTTGGCTTTGTGAGTTGCAGAGTGAGGCTTCCTTTCTTGTGTTGGCCCCTTCGCATGTCCCACATGGCTGGACTGATTCCATTTCTATTTCTGTGTCTAGTGGAGCTGTCGCCACTATTCCCAAACACACTGATTCTGGGCCTGGAAATTCGGGTGAAGGTTTCAGACTATGTGCAAGACCGAATTCGGGCCCTACGTGCAGCTCCTGGAGGTGGCTTCCAGAACATTGCTTGTCTGCGTAGTAATGCCATGAAGCATCTTCCTAACTTCTTCCAAAAGGGCCAGGTAGGGAGGGGCCCCAGTGGGTTAGACTGGTGTGTGGCAGACAGGGGTGGGGAAGGTAGGCCCTCACCATCCTGTCTGTGCACGTCTGTCTCGTAGTTGTCAAAGATGTTCTTCCTCTTCCCGGACCCACATTTCAAGCGGACTAAGCACAAGTGGCGAATCATCAGTCCCACGCTACTGGCAGAATATGCCTACGTGCTGAGAATCGGGGTGAGTTGAGTGGGAGGGAGAGTAGGATGGTCTGTTCAGAGGCTCTCCATGAGAATTAAGTGGGGGTGGGTTTAAGGGCTCACACCACCGCTCCTAGCATCCCCCTCCTTGAGGCATGCAGCCCCTCTGTCTAGAATGATTTTGCCTATGCTCTCTCACTGCCATCGAGTCAACGCCAACTCAGGGACCCAAGAGGACAGGGTAGAACTGCCCCTGTGAGACCATAACTGTTTACAGGAGTAGAAAGCCCGATTTTCTCCCTTTGCCGATGCAGGGGCTGGTGTATACCATAACTGACGTGCTGGAACTACACGACTGGATGTGCACCCACTTTGAAGGACACCCTCTGTTTGAGCATGTGCCTCTGGAGGAGCTGGTAAGTCGGAGGCCTAAGGGAATTTGCAGTGGTGCACATCTTCCCAAGGATCTATATCCTTTGAAGTCAGCTTCGTACCAGGAAGATGAGGTGGGAATCTAGAAGCCAGAGATACTCTGAAAGGTGTGCAAAGATTCATCTAGAGTCTTTCTTCTCCCAGAATGAAGACCCTATTGTGGGACATCTGGGCACTTCAACCGAAGAGGGAAAGAAAGTTCTACGCAATGGAGGGAAGAATTTCCCAGCCATCTTCCGAAGAATACAGGATCCCACTCTCCCAGCAGTGACACCCCCCACCAGCCCCATACAGCCCGCTCACTGACTGCCCATCCTGCCTAGCTTGACCCCTCTTCAAGGGGCCAAAAAGAAGATCGGATCCCCCTGGGCCTTCCCAACACAGGCTGCCAGGGTTAAGAGGCAGGGAACCTCAAAGAAATTGGCCAAGGCAGAACCCTAGTTTTCACCATTACCCCTGACTCCTTCCCATCGTGCCCCTTTATTGAGGGCAGAAAGCAGAAGAAGCTGACTGAGAATGTCAAAGGAACTTGGACTGGAGGGGATCTTGGCAGTGTGGGTTCTTGACTACCCCCCACCCCCTAGCCTACTCACCTCCTGAGATCTCTCAGCTGGGGTGAGGAGCTATATTATGCCTCTAAACTGCCTGCTGGGCCAAAATCACCTGTCCCGTTGTGTTTACTGGCCAGTTCATGCATTGGAGGCACAGTCCTTGGGTACCGTGTGCACGTGTCCGTGCTGCAGTTCTTTTGGGGAAAGGCTGGAGTATGTGTCACACGTCCTCACTAGGTCTCTCCTTGGCCAAGACTGGACTTAGGCTATCTGCTCTCTCCTTGCTGTCTCTGGAGAGTCCCTAAATGGTATAGGGTAGAGAGACCCTCTCCTTCATGTTGACCTTAGGTTGCAGAGCGGACTGGCACGGAGCCCAGTGGGGATGGGAGTGGGAGAGCAAGGAGCAGCAGCTAAACTAAGGAGGGTTCTGAGGCTGAACAGCAGCTGCTGACCAGAAAGTTCCACACCCCTCCAAGAGAGGACAGAGTCAAGTGGGGGTTCTAAGCATTCCTCTCTTCCTCAGTCCAGGGACCCAACTTTTCTAATTTGTAAAAAGCTCCTACGTTTCTCGTCCTCAAGTCCAATATTCCCAGAGCTGGAGGAACACAACGTTTTGACCAAAAACCTTCCAGCACTCACCTCAGGAGCAAAGATGAAAATTCCTGGAGCCAGTTTAACCCATGAACACACCCAGTCACTTGCCCAACCTGGAGAGGAGAGGGGAGAATGACAACTCTGCTCCCCACAACGTGCAGCCCACCACGTAGCCCAGATGAACCAACCGTGAACCAGGGGCATTTACAGCTGTCCTTCCTGGGGGAGCTGGAGGGTGGGGAATTCCTGAGGATAAGCCCGGGGCCTGGCTCCCTGGGAAAGTGGTGGGAATACCAGGGCTGACTCATACAGCTTGTGGGTCACTGTCTTGGTTCTCCAGCGCTGCTGTAACAGAAATGTCACGAGTGGATGCCTCACTTTAGAAATGAATGCCTCCGTTAGGAGGCTGCTATTGTTGAGTGCCGTCCCATGTCCCATCAGTTCCAACCTCGAGCAACCCCATGTACAAGAGGAGGAAACACTGTCCAATCTTTATTTGATTTTTGTGGAGCCCATACTTTATTTATTGAAATACATTGTAAATTGCGAATCAGGAGAACCCTGCCTGGTCCTATGCCATCCTCACGATTGCTATGTTTGGGCCACTGTTGCAGCCCCTCTGTCGGGACATCTCATGGAGGGTCTTTTTCGATGCCCTACTTACTTCACTGAGCATGATTTCCTGTAGGTGGCTAGAAGTCCAAAATCAGGGTGCTCAAGAGGAAAGCCGCCATCCCTTTCAGCTGCTTTGGTACATCTTCTGTAGTCTCTATCTCAAAAATCAAGACAACCTATGCTAATTCTACCACACTAATGTAACAAACAAAACCCCGTATCGCCATCCAAACTTAGAAGGACCCTGTAGGACAGATAGAACTGTCCCTCTGGGTTTCTTTAGAGAGTAGAAAGCCCTGTCTTCCTCTCAGGGAGAGCCTGGTGGTTTCCTGCTGATGACCTGACGGCGGCCCAGCAAGGAACCACTATGCTACCAGGCCTCCAACTCAGACCCAAATGGGATTATGATTTACAGGCAGAGAGGTTTGAAATTAGGGCACAATTCACAAACCACCCAGCATTGAGCCAGTTGCCCTCTAGTGGAGTCCAACTAGCCTTCCCCAGGAAAGGATGTGTCCCTGCTGGTCTAGGCCACCAGACCAAGAGTAGAAGCTGAGGGGGGCAACTCCCCACTGGGTGCCACGGGAGGTTCAAGGGAATCGCAAAGGAAGCCCCGCCTGCTGTCCTTCAAGGGCGCGGCTTGGTTGCAGATCCCCAGCATGGACCACTAAAAAGAGATTCGCTATAGAGTTTGGAAAGGGGGCGTCGCCCAGGGATTAAATAGAGGCTGGGGAAGCAGGCAAAATGCTCAGAAGCCCTCTGTTTGGCGGGCTTTATGACCCAAACCATGACCCAGACGTTCAAGTTCGCCTCTAAGGTGTTCCATCGTGGCCTTTGGGCTCCCGAGCGAGGTGCCGACTCAGCGCCCCGGAGCTTGGCCCACATCCCAGGCCCCTCCACGCCGGGCTTCCTGGTGGAACTCTTCTGCAAAGGGGGACTGTCACGACTACACGAACTGCAGGTAGGGCTGGGGACACTCCATTTCCAGGACTGGGACCTAGGGACGCTAGTTCTGGCAACTTTAGAAGACAGAATGCAGGGAGGGCCAGTGAGGACAGATGCCTGTGAATTTGGGGGAAGGCAAGTTGAAACTCGGGACTGTGGCAGTAACCGGCCAAGGAGTGGGCTCAAGAAGCAGCTTCTTACCGGGCCAGCTCCGAACCTGAGCGCCAGTACAGGGCACTGGAAGCCAGTGCAGGGCACACTGTACTAGGCGCGTTCTGTTTAAAGCTACAGCAGGCTTTCCAGTTCGGGGGGGGGGGGGACAGCCTGAGCTGAACAGACCAAGAGGGGAACCCATAAGGATTTTTCTGCCTCAGCTCAGCCAGAGGACCAAGGAGAGTTCTTGCGTATCTGCTCAGCGCAGGGTTTCCCGGTTTGGCTCACCAGCCACCCAAACTTCGTCGGGATGCCAAATGGGGAAAAGAGGAGTTTGGAACTCATTGAGAAGCCCACTAGTCCCTAGGCGTTAGCACTGGGTAAGCCGGGAGTTCCCGGCCCGCGTCTCCAGGACCCACTTGGCGCGTTCTCCCAGGTGCAGGGCGCCGCGCGCTTCGGCCCCGTGTGGCTGGCTAGCTTCGGGACAGTGCGCACGGTGTACGTGGCCGCTCCAGCACTCGTCGAGCAGCTGCTGCGACAAGAGGGACCCCAGCCCGAGCGCTGCAGCTTCTCGCCCTGGACGGAGCATCGGCGCCATCGGCAGCGGGCTTGCGGACTGCTCACAGCGTGAGTCCTCGCGGCACCCGGTCCGCTCCTGTGGCGCCGGTCCCCGGGCCATGTGGGAGCGCAGAGCGAGGGCGGCCATTTCCCCAACCTCCTGGCACCTCGGGGTTCCCAGTCCAGTCGGTTTCACCCAAACTTGGGTCAAGCCCCGTCCCCGCCCTCCCCACTCCTTCTTTGCTGGTGAAGCCAGAATGCTGGGAACTAGTGGGGTGTGGAGGGAGGGAGGGCTCCTTGACTCAGCTTACCCAGGAACGCAGACCCCTCGGGGCAGGAAATGAGTAACGCCAAGGGGAGTTGGGAAGGCTGGCGCTGGCTGGGCGGGATAGCGTGTCCTTAGGGCGCAGACCACCCAGCGGGTCCGCCCGCCCCATCGGGCTGCTGTCACACCCCGCCCCCGCCCTGAGGCCAGCTCTCCGCACCCCCCCCTGCAGGGAAGGCGAAGAATGGCAGCGGCTCCGCAGCCTCCTGGCTCCGCTCCTCCTTCGTCCCCAAGCGGCCACCCGCTATGCCGGGGCCTTGGACGACGTGGTTGGTGACTTGGTTCTGAGACTGCGGCGCCAGCGGGGCCTGTGCGCCGGGCCACCCACCCTGGTTCAGGACGTGGCGGGAGAGTTCTACAAGTTCGGACTAGAAGGTGAGTAGCCTGGGCCCATGGAGTGGGCTGGAAACCCTGGTGCCCCTTGCCCTGACGGCTCCCCTCCCTGCCAGGCATAGCCGCCGTGCTGCTGGGGTCGCGTCTGGGCTGTCTCGAGGCCCAAGTGCCGCCAGACACCGAGACCTTCATCCGGGCCGTGGGCTCTGTGTTCGTGTCCACCTTGCTTACCATGGCGATGCCCAAGTGGCTGCACCGCCTAGTGCCGGGACCCTGGGGTCGCCTCTGCCGGGACTGGGACCAGATGTTTGCATTTGGTGAGATACGGGACTAGGTGGGGCTAGGGGCCAGAGCCTGCCCAGGAGTGGTGACCTATCACTGCCTTCTCCCCACACAGCCCAGCAGCATGTGGAAGAGCGAGTGGCCGAGATGACCATGAGGAACCAGGGACAGCTGGAGGGAGACCCTGGACCTGTTTCTCATCTGACCTACCACCTGTTGCGAGAAAAACTTCCGGTCCCATCCATCCTGGGGAATGTGACCGAGCTGCTCCTGGCTGGGGTGGACACGGTGAGGGTCTTCCTCTTGGCTAGGGCCTCCTTTCCAGCGTTTAGCGGGTCACCTTCCTGCTGCAGGTGACCCACCGTGGCCCTCTGGACAAACTTGGCTTGGCACCCCCTTTGCCCCAGACTGCCTGTATTCAGCCTCCTGCCCTGGATTCCCGAATCCAACCCTCTGGTTTCTCACGCCTGCCCTCAGGTGTCCAACACGCTCTCCTGGGCTCTGTATGAGCTTGCCCGGCACCCAGATGTTCAGAGGGCACTGCACACGGAGATCACAGCTGCCTTGGGCCCCAGCTCCTGCGCCCACTCCCCAGCAGCTCTATCCCAGCTGCCCCTGCTAAAGGCTGTGGTCAAGGAGGTGCTGAGGTAAGGGGGAAGGCAAGGAGGAGGTGCTAGGGAAGATGCTGGAGAAGGGGATGGTGGAGAGAAGGAGGAGAGAGAGCAGAGAAAGATGGCATTCCCCTCTAAAAATGGGTGTAACCATTGGAGATGGGTGGGAGGCCCCAGCTTCACCATGCTGCCTCTCTCGTACTCCGCAACCCAGGCTGTACCCTGTGGTCCCTGGAAATTCCCGTGTTCCAGACAAAGACATTCGTGTGGGTGACTACGTTCTCCCCAAAAATGTGAGTAGAGCCTGTCCATCCCATTTGCTGCGCCCATCCCTCATTAGCTTGGGCCTCAGCCAACACTCCCCACTCCCCGTCAGCCTTTCAAACACTCCCATAGGCCTGAAATGCCTTTCTGCCAGATGTAATGGGCAGCGGAGAAATCATTCCCAAAGTAAACACCCCAAAAATGTCCCCATTCACTCACCAGAACCTGCCTTTGTCCTCATCAATGTGTTCTCTCCCCCTACCAGGCATGCCCCTCCCCACATTCCTAGGCCTCAACTGACAAGTTGTGTTCCTCTCTCACCAGACGCTGGTCACTCTGTGTCACTATGCGACTTCTCGTGATCCTGCCCAGTTCTCAGAGCCTGACTCTTTCCGACCAGCTCGCTGGCTCGGGGAGGATCCAGCCCCCCACCCATTCGCATCTCTGCCCTTCGGCTTTGGCAAGCGCAGCTGCATGGGGAGACGCCTAGCAGAGCTGGAGCTGCAAATGGCTTTAGCCCAGGTGAGTGGTGCAGACCTTGCACTGTCCCTAGATAGGATACAGGCCCAACCTTCTAACGCTGTGGGCTCTTCTCTGATGAGCGTAGAAACAGATACAACTTGGTCGGCCTAATCTTCTGAAATAGGGCAATACTGCCATAGGCCTGAAGAATGAGCAAGGGCTTCAGGCTCTCTCTTCCTACCGTAATGTCTTACCCTCAATAACCACAAAGTTGTCTCCCCCCAGCCCCAGGTGCCACCTCTACACTGGCTATCCTATCCTGACAAAGGCCCCTGATCAGTGGAGCCCACCACTACAGGTCCCTCCCATAGTGATAGCCTTCTTTGTACCTTTCCAGATCTTGATCCACTTTGAGGTGCTGCCTGAACCTGGTGCGGCCCCAATCAGACCGATGACCCGGACTGTCCTAGTACCTGAGAGGAGCATCAATCTACAGTTTGTGGACCGATAACCCTGTTTGCACGGGCTCTCGTCACCACACAGACTTACTGGGTGCACCACCAAGAGCTGTATCTCTCTCGAGGCCTATCTGATCACACTGGTTAGAAGGACCATAGCAAAGTGCTTGAGGTTGCCCTGACCAAGGTGTGAAGTATGCTATGGACCTGGCTCAGCAGCCCAGGGGGAAAAAGGAAACAAACATTGTGCTTAGTTCTGTCCCTGGTCCTGTCATATGCAGCCTTCAGGGACCACCAACTCAGATCCTAAGTAATAATGCTGGGTGGCCCAAGAAAACGCTCAATCACTGCCCTTTGGGGGCTTCCCCACTGCTCATGGGCTGCTGGCTAAGCATGTATGGCAGCATGAGCTGATTCACTGTGCATCTGCTCTGCACCTGGTTGATCCTTCCACTTTGCACGGGAGCTTTTGGACATCAAGGATCAGGTTTAATTTGGTCTCCATATCCCCTGCCAGGGCCTCTCTCTCGCTAGATGACACCACACACGTTGTCAGATTGACCCTGGGCCATGTGGCAGAAAGGATCAGCAATTCACCAGGTTCCATCTCGCCCCTCCATTCCCTCCTTCATTATCTTGGCCCTAGGAAGGTGGGTCTGTCCTAGCCTAGTTATGGCTTTTGAAACTTTCTTTGGCCCTTTGGTCACTCATAGGCCAGATTGTCCTGATAACTAATCACCAGGAAGAGAGATCACTGGCCTGTCCCTCCCTGCCGAGGCCTATGCCTGCCTTTTTTTATATATATTAAAGTTGGAAAACATTCCGTTTTGAAATTAAGTTTCCAAAGTTCCACCCTTGACTTTTGACTTACTGCTCACCCACTCCCACATCTTGGAAGTGGGTGCAAAACCCTGACCCTCCTCCCCCACACCTTGATTTCTCAAGGCTTGGGAGTGACCACACACACACACACACACACACACACACACACAATGGGAGGTCTGGATGCCTTCAAGAGTGACTTGCATCACAAGCCTGACTTGTTTGTCTGTAGAAAGAACTGCCAGGCAGCCAAACCCGACTCTCGGTAAGAGCAAGGCGGGTGGTGGTTGTGATGAAAAGTAACTGCAAGGGCTTGGCTGTAGGGATGGGTGAGGGGGTTGGTGATTGGCCAAGATGTGCAAAGGTGGCCAGTTTGTTGGTAGGGGAAGCACCTTTAGAACCTGGACTGCCAGAACCATAGGACAGTCTAGAATGCTCCCTCTACTCTCTCTCTGGAAAATTTGTCCCATCCTGAGACCATTCCCTTCAGAGGACACGGGTCCAAGCAGGCAGATAGGAAGAAAGCTGAGTGTGGGGGTGGAGAAAAACCCTGGGGCACTGAGGCAAGGAAAGAGGGGTGGCAGAGGGAACCTGTGTTCTCGTGAGTCAGCATTCTCTGGCCCCCCAGAGGCTGGGCACTGCTCTCCCCTTGTGATGTATACAAATTAACTCATCTTCCACCCAAATAAATCCCTCAACACTCTTCCAAAGCTCCCTCTGTATCCCAGATTACCCTTCCCGTGTCAGAACTTGCCCCTTTCCTTCTGCCCCTGCCCCAATACCAATTAGCTGGGTGTCGATGGAGATTTTACTTTACGCTTCCTCCTCCCATCACCTCAGCCCCTGGCCCTGGCCCTGGCTCCCTGATCATAGGAATCCCGTTAGCCAGCCAGGCTTCAGGCTAGGTCTACAGGGAGGCAGGGCACACCAAAGCCTGGTGCAGAAACCAAGGCTTGGGAAGTCATGGTCCCTCCTCAGCTCCACCTCTGCCCAAACACCCCTGTCACTAGCCACCACTTGAACCTGAAATTTCGAGCAGATTTGAGCTTTGAGGGAGTTCAAAATCCCAGCCTGCTCTCAGGCTTTTGACCCTGGAAGGAGTGGTGAGTATTCTACTCACCCATACTCCCCATTGGGTCAGTAGGGTGGCAGCAGTTCCCATGACTCCTTTCCTGAATAAAAGACAAAGCCATTGAGTTGACCCAGCTCACAGTGACCCTATAGGACAGAGTAGAACTGACCCATAGGGCTTTCAAGACTGTAAATCTATATAAAAGCAGACTGCTACATCTTTCTCCCACAAAACAGCTGGTGGGGTCTAGCCACTGACCTTTCACTTAGCAGCCAAAGGCTTAATCACTTACTACCAGGACTTCTTCCTGAATAAGGATATCTTTAAGTTGGAGAACGGAGAAGGGACCATACTGGCTTGTAGCCCCAACTCCTACACAAGACCTCTGCTGGTGTTAAGGGGGTGGGGTGAGGGCAATGCACTGTCTCACTTGGCCTTGTTTCAGGATTCAGGGCAGAAATGTAAACAGTGTGCTTGTGTGCGTTTACTCTTGAGTGGGTCTAAGCTTCCGTGTGGCGGTATCATGAGGAGACAGCCCAGGCTTGGCAAAATACCCACACGCACAACCAGGCTTCTAACAGTTTGCGGAATAATTCCATTATCTTTTAACTCCATTTTTCCATGAACTTACTAAAGTCCTCTGGTATACACATCTACCTGAGTTCCTATCTGCTGGTATAGGTATCAGCGGTCGCTCTGTTTTTCTGTCTCCCTTCTGATCCCACCAGCAGCCCCGGTAGCACATTGGACTGCTAACCACGAGGTCAGCAGTTCAAATCCACCAGCCACTCTGCAGGAAAAGATGAAGCTTTCTACTCCCCTAAAAATCTAGTCTTGGAAACCCACAGGGCATTGAGTCAAAATTGCCTCAGTGACAAGAGTTTGGGGTTCAAGTTTTCTGACACCCATCAGTTCTGTGAGCGGCAAATCAGTAAAGATTGGCCCTTCTGCCTCCCCTGGTGGAGAACAGTGGGAGTTATCTCCTTAGGGAAACACTTTCTTATTGGGAAGATGGAAGGCTCAACCACAGCCCCACCTCTATCTTGAGGCCCTCAAAGGTGAAAAGTGGACACACTTCCATTATTGAGCCTCATCCAACTTGGGTTCCTGCAGTCAGGCTAACCTGGACCCAGCACCATGGACAGCAGCCAAGGCCCAATTTAGAGGTAGATCACCATTTCCTGGGAGTTGGATGGGTGGGCCCTGTTAATGGAGAAGCATGCAGCATTGGTAATATTCTCACCTTCCATGCAAGAGACTTAGGTTCCCTGCCCAGTTACCTCACCCGTGCACAGCCATCACCTGACGGACTATGGAAGCCTGTGTGTTACTGTGGTGCTTCCAGATGAAGACAAATAGAAAAGCCTGGCACTCCAGTTCTGAAAATCAGCCAACAACTCTAGTGATCACAATGGTCTGATCCACAACTGATCAGAGGCTAGGAGGCCACACCCGGAAGTGTTTCCTTCTGATATACATGGCCACCAGACATCAGAAGCCATCTCCATGTCAGATTAAAATTAAAATTATCTCTAGAACCTCCACGGAGAAAAGCCAGAGCAGAAAGAACCTTCCGAGCAAAGTCCAAGAACAGCCTCTGGATCAGACTTTAGCAATGTCTGGAGTAGTTATTCTAGTCGCTGATGAATAATTCCCTTAAAAGACACCGTAATTCATACAATACACATCCCCAAGTCCTCTGGAGAAAGGGGCTCGGCTTCTGGCACTTTACCTCGTCCTCCCCAAAGCTTTCTCGCCATAAGCAACGGTCTTCTGTGTTGCTGCCTGCGAGCGCAATACCTTTCCATTAACACCACTGGGCTCAAGCCCATGATCCTAAGTTTCTGTGGGAGCAGCTTCAACTGGGGTTTCCAGACTTCTAACACTGGAAACTCCTGTCTCACTCCAAGTGAGTCTGAATTCACTTCTTGCCACTTCCCTGAGTGAGCCCAGGACCCCAGAAGGACTATTAGAACCTCGGCGAATCCCAGAGCAAGATAAAGAACTCAGGCCTCCCTTCACTCCAAGGCCTCCGTGTTTAGAGGGGCAGAGTAACCCTCATGCCCTTAGATAACCACCATCCTTCCCATTTACCCTGTCAGTCCCCTCATGTGTCCATAGCTATTAAGCCACTCTGCACCCCATTCCAAGGCCCCGTGCAACTGCAAATGAAAATCTCATTTTGGATTTGCTACCCTCATGACTACTCGAAATAAATGAACCATCAAGTAGCCTAGAAATCTTCTTATACCATTACCGATGTTCTTTATAATAGGATGTTGACCCGGCTCTTGTTTACCCTCATTCCAACAGCCAAGTATTGTGTTTCCCCCTTCTAAATCACACAACTCACAGGTGGCAGGTCCACCCCTCAGATACTTCTAAGCACTGCCACCTAGCAGCCAACGTGAATTACTCACCAGCAAGTGGGAGTTACACCTCCACCTCCAAACCCCATCCATCGCTACATTTGGAATTTGCAACCCATGTTGAGAAACCTCCCCACACCTCTCAGCCCTCGAGAAAAGCCCGAGATGAGGAAGGAGTCACCAGGAGCATATAAATGATTCTTTATGCCCTCCCCCCATGCAATGGGGGGAGGAACAGGGGGAAGTCCCCCCGCCCTCATGCAGGGAACGGGAGGTCAATGAATGCTAGTCTTATTGCCAGATGCCCTGTGGCCGTGGGTTGGGGAGTGGGGGATCTACAGCCCCGGTCTTCTGGCATGGGCCCCCCTTCACCAAGTTGCCGTGAGAGAGCTGGGGGCCTGGAGGCCCTAGGAGCTGAGGTAAGGATGGTTTTCTCCAGGGAAGCAAAGCTGCTCTCCCCACCTGCCCACCGGCTGCCCGAGTGTGCGGAGCTGTCAGGACTGGATGGCATCCAGTGCGCAGTCGAGGCCCAGCAATGTCTCCAGCTTGAGGCTGCCCGCAGAGATCCTCCCTCCGGAGTGGGAGCAGTATGAGTGCTCCAGACGCCTCATCCAGGCAGCACCTGCAGCCAGGAGTGCGGTCCGAGACCGGGAGAGCTCATCTCTGGCAGACACACTGACTCAAGGTCCCTGCTTCTGGCGTCCGCTTTCAGACCGTGGTGACCCTCATGACCACCTCACGGCCAGAATGGGAGCTGGAACGGGCATCTGGTGGCCGCAACTGTCCAAGGAGGTGCAGGATTGTGTAACCACAGCGCTGAGGCAAGAGCGTCCGCATGCGCTGGGCAGCTGGGGGACGGCTGGTGGCCCCAGAGGTGGGGCCTGTCCGTGAGGTCCTGGGGCCTGGCTTCCCTGCCGTCCCTGCCCCTGCATCTCCTCCTATGTCTTTAGTCTTGTCATAATTCAGGACCTTCCACTGCTGGTTCACTGCCTGCCAACGCTTGAAGATGCGGTAGACTGAGGAGCCCTCATGGACAATGAGACCTGAGCAGGAGGAACAAGGGATGGAGGGTCACCCGCTGCCTGGGTCGGAGGAGCTTAAGCAAGCATTTCTTCAGAGGAAAGGCATAGGGCTGCCCTCGAGGGCACTCAAGTAGCAGGAATGGAAGGACCGCACGCATGCCAGCCTTAAAGGCCTCTGGTGGTGGAAAGCATGGGCATGGAGCTGAGGAGGTGGGCAAAGAGGTCAAAGAGGGAAGTCTGAGGAAGCTGCTGAACAGGGAAGGGGAGGAGAGGGCGCCCTCACCTATGCAGACGACATCCATGAAGCCATACATGCCGTAGCAGATCTGAAAGAGCAAGTCCTGCCGTTGCCACTTGGCTGAAGGGCTGAGCGAGGACCAGATGAGCCAGGAGATGCTGGCAACGAGGAAGAGAGAGCCCAGAACGATGGCCGCGATCTGGACCTTCTCGATGACGGTCAGGGAGATGGCTTGCCACTGCGCGGGAGACAGGGTCACAGGAAGTCAGAGACATGGGAAGGGTAGACCAGCGGGGGTGGGGGGCAAGGACCTGAAGAGGAGGACACTTGCAGGAGGCGCCCCCAAGGCCTTCAGGCAGGATTAACCTGTGCATCTCCTCATCACACCTGGGATGTGGCATCTCTCAGATGTCGAAATATCACTTGTCTGGCTTCACCTAAGGCAGGTAGACTGAAGGAGAACATCCAGGTTGCCCCCTCAAATCCTAACTCCATTATTTGCTGCCTGAGTAAGCATGGGCACGGTTGTTTCCTAGTCTCTTTGTGCTTCAATGTCCTCATCTGTAAACTGGGACTAATCATGAGCCTTTTGCCTGAAGACTAAAGGAGTTAACAAACTCCAAGAGCTCGATACAGAGTAAACACTACTTGTTTGCTATTATCCTCCACCTCCTCCTCCAAATGCTCATCTTTTCCTTTTTCCTCCCAGTGCCTAGAGCAGCATGTAGGACACAGCTGGGACCCAAGAAACCTCTTTGTGAATAAACAATGAAGGAGAGACTTGCAGGTAATAGACTGTGGAGCGGCGGCAAGAGGTGGTTTGAAGAGCACACAGCAAGAAATAAGCTTCCTAGAGGGTCCCGGAGTCTACTGGCCTTAGGACCCTAGCCCCTCACCTGCAGCGGGTTCTTGGTGCTGATTGCCAGGACCTGGTACTTGAAGTAGCAGAGCTCACAGCTCCAGGAGCCCCTCTCACTGATCCAGCGGATGAGGCAGGGCTGATGTGTGCAGCGCACAGAGCCATCGCAGCGGCAGGGGCTCAGGAGCTCCCCCTGGAGGAAGAGTGGGAAGGGGTCGTTAGCCAGGACGACCCTGACCCTTCTTCAGCTCTGCTCCCACCTTCAAACCAACCAACCAACCTCGATTCTTTACACCTAAAGCGAGATGGGATGCTACGGTTACAGTTGAAAAAGAAATTTTTTTAAGTTAGAACTCAAGAGAAACTTCTCCGAACCAGAGAGATAGGGGAGGTATTGAGACTCCTTTCCCTGGGATTTGGGGAGGGTAGTCTTGAGCCGTGGAGCAAACCATGCCTTCCTCCCCGCACCTCATCCCTCTAAGCTATTTCACAGATCTGGCCCAGGCTGGGGTGTGTTATGGGCCTCAGTTCCCGAGGCTCAAAATGAGGAGAAATCCCTGGGAAGGGGGTGAGGAGCATGTTCCCACTCCTTAATAATGGAATGCCCTTCCCACTACACAGAGACACCCCCCACCCTCACCCCACTGGCCCAATCCCAGGGCAATGTTGCCCATAACATTTAAACAAAGAAAACTCTTTGCAATGAAACAAAAGTTGCAGGTTGGGAAATGAAGCAAAGTACCCCATAGGGTGAAATAGTGGGTGAAGCCAAGGTGCCGTGCCTTCCCTTCAAGAACTCTCCCCTCCGCTAACCCCCACCCCTACCCCCACCCCGGAGATCCTGGGGTGAGTGGTGAAGGGCTGTCTCCATTAGTAGGTGAATTTGGGAGGCTTCTCCAGAGAAAGCCCCACCTCTTCCTGGAGACCCCTACCCCCAATCCAGAGCTGTGCTCCCGAAGTCTCCACTTAACCCTCGCCCCACTCCTTGGACACTTGGTGCCCCGTCCCACCTTGCTTCTTCAGGCCCCGCCCCCTGCTAGCGGTCTCCCTGGGCGCTCCAGGTGCGCGCCCCCGCCCTTCCCCACCCGGCCGGGTCCCCAGGCTTGACCTGCTCGGGGCCTTGGAAGCAGATCCTGCACTGGGGGGTTCGGAGCCCACTGTCTAGGCTGCTGCTGAGAGACAAGGCGTCCAGCGCACCCGGGGGCGGTGGCGGTGGCGCGGGTGGCGGCGGCGGTCCGGCCCGCGGTTCCTTGTCCCCGGCCAGGCCCCGGGCCCGCGGTTCCGACCCATAGTACTCCTCTTCGTCGCCGTCGCCGTCCCGGGTCGAGCAGCCGG